AGTCGTGGACGCTTCCGGGCCACTTGGCAACCACGTTGAGGATCCTTGAGCGCGCGTCGACCACCAGCTGCACGTTGATGGAATGGTAGAAGTGTCGGTTCACGAACACTTCCTCGTGCAGCGGTGGCCTTGGATCCGAACGTGGGTGCCGTCGATGGCTCCTACGACGCCCGGAAAGCCGTCCACGGCGTAGAACTGCCGCTGCAGTTCGGGGACTTCCGCTGCTGTTGGCCACCTGAAGTAGAAGATATGGTTTACACTATCAATTGAAACCAAATAAATTATAACGTTGGTTGAATCTAGCACATGTTCGATTATGACGTAGTCGGACCGTTCCCATGAAGCTTGTCACGATCGAGTGTGAACCAGTACGTATTATTCGCTACTGTTTTGAAACGCACCCTCCTTTCCGAAACGTTCTTCAGTGTCCACCAGTTAATCCCGCTAACATGTCGTGAAACACGTTGTTTTTTCGTAATGAGAAACACGCCACAATACAAAGTAGTGCCGAGAACTGCCCCCACCATTACGGACCGTAGTAATAACCAAACATCGCTTTGAGCACGTATATCGAGGGCGAAATAATGGCGCTGCATGTTGGTGAAAAAAAAAGGTTTTCTTTAACGAAAACAAGTAGAAGAAGTATTTTCTCTCACGAAACAAGTTGAATAAGTCTCTGTTCCCCACAATCCAAAATTACGCTGCAGCTGACTGGCCCACTGGCAAAGAGAAACGCTAGTGTTAGGACTTTTTTTTCTTCTCACCGTATGAAGTGCGGCGCTTGCTTGGCGAGAGCTAGGGTGACTCGTCGCACGCACCGTGACGTTGTGGATTCGTGCACATGCAGAAAGTCCCCCGCCGTGATCAAGAAGGTGCCGGTAGCGAAGAATTTCAGCGCTAGGAGAACTTGATTCAGGACGGGGGTTGCGTGGTTGCGTCTCGTTGGTCGCGTGAGGTCGCTGGCCAAGACGTCGGCGATGTACATGATGCCATCGCGGCCAAACCGAAAACGACGCTGGAGGCCTTCTTCGCCGAAAACGTCGAAGGGGTGAAAGCGGTCGCCGAATACGCGGTCCCGTGACAGCATCCACGCGGCAAAGATGGCTTGGACCCGACTTGTCATAGCCACGTCCGACATTTAGTTTACTCTTAGACCGCCAGTGAGCCTTCTCCGTGACTGTCTCACGATCTGAGACTAGAACTGAGTCAGAGGCTCGATTTTGGTCTTCGTTTCGAGCAAGTGGCTAACCGCTGAGACTGTCTCAGTTTGGGTCTCCGTTTGGGTCTTAAATCGGTCGCCAGCTAATTTGCTACAGGACTGTCTCCCGGCTTGAGACACAAGTTGAGTCAGAGACTCGGTTTCAGTCTCAAGTCCAGACTAAGTTTCGTTTCGAGCAAGTGGCTCAAGTTTCGTCTCGGTTGAGACTGTCTCAAGTTGTGTCCCAACTCGTTCGAGCAAGCGGCCCTAGGTACCACTGCATTTGCCGTCTTTAATGCGTGGTTTGGAAGTTTCCCTGCTAAGCGCAGGGATGAATGCTGCGGCGGGCTTGCTCTCCAAATTTTTGGTGGTGCCAGCAGTGTAGATTAGGTTCCCCGGCGGGTGTTCTACTTGTCCGGGGTCGTCCCGTTCGAGGTTGCCGATTCGGTGATCTCTGATCGTTGCTTATTGATCGTGGCTCAGCCAGCCGAAGGGGGGACACTTCGGTGTTAAGTTGGTCCACTTTTTCAGAAAGTTGTGAGACGACGGCGTTGAGTTTCTCTATAGAGTCCTTGCTGGGAGGTGATGATGGTCTGGTTGTACCAAGAGTCGAGATGGTAGGTGTATTGACCTCTATGATCCTGTTTTCCATGCGAGCTAAGGCCTCGGTAGCTGTTATTTCTGAGGCGGACAGGATCATACGGACGTTGTTTGGGAGCCGTTGAAGGAAAAGTTCTCTGAAAGTTGATGCCTCGACTGTGTCAGGCTGATCACCAAGCAGTTGGTGCATTCGTCGTAAGAGGTCTGTTGGTTTTCGGTCTCCTAACTCTTCTGTCGTCAAGAGTTGTTGTAGGCGGCGTTGCTCGGATTCCGTGGTGCGGTGAGTAAGTTCTTCTTTAAGGCGATCATATGAGTTATCGGGTGGTGCACGTAGAATGTCGCGAACTATCGCGGCAGTACCTTGAGGTAGCGCAGCTATTACGAAGTCGAACCGGGGCCTTTGCGATGCAATCCGGTGAGACCGAAATTAGGCCTCGACGTGTAGAAACCAGAGTTCTGCGTCGCCATTCCAAAAGGCGGGAAGCTAGAAGTTTGTGCTGTCGATGTTCGCAGCCAGCAAGGAAGGCTCACCGGTGGAGGCATCGGTGTGTAGTCTTGGGTCCGTCATTTCAGCAGTTGTAGGTTAGCACAACTAACTAGCAGGCAGGGATTCGACGTCCGAGTCACCAGTTTGTAGCACGTAATAATTCCATTGACGACTGAGCTATAATAACTGTCTTTTATCCACGGCTAGTTCGGTTGTCTGAACCATAGTCTTGCTTGGAACGACGAGCTGTGTTTCACCCAGGAGCTGGGGGGCTATGTTGCGCTTTTTGCACTCCCTGGGGTGCTAGGAGCGGAGAGGGAAGTGACGTAGGTGTGAATGAACGTATCTTAGCAACACCACGGATCGCGGAAACTCACCTTCTGACGCCATGACGACATCGCAGTAATTAACTACGACACACTTCCGATGCACGGCCGTGAAGACACGAAGCCAAACCAGCGAACCAAGCCAACGACTCTTGTACTTGTATCGAGCCGACAGTAGCCAAGGGAGTGCGACGCTCACCGTCACATATAATTTATTTTACACGGCGTCAGAAATAAAAAAAACTTTGAATGCTGATGAAATTAGCACGTTTTTCTTTAGTTGGACTGAAAAGAAAAGTGAAACCGAAGTTATGTGATGTAAAAGCTGCCAGCAACAATTGCGGGATGCGGACGCGCGCGTTTTTCGAAAACTGATAGCAGACGACAATTTACCGCCTCAATCATGTCTGTCATGTCTGATCAGGCAAGCGAGAGAGAGCCCTGCGTGCCAGTCAATGCTTTACAAAAAGAAGAAATGGACAATTTTATGTTTGCACGTCGCGAACTGGCTCGTGGGGCCTCTGACCTCTCGCCTAGCCTGACCAGAGATGACAAGGCAAGGTTGTGGGCCGAGTTGACCTGCCGGCTGAACCACCTCGGGCCGCCGCGCAGCACAGAGCGGTGGAAGAGGGTTTGGATGAACCGCGTCTCCAAAGCCCGCAAGTGGGTGCGCAGTAGTCGAGGCTGAGAGGTAAGCTAGGCAGAAGATAAATGCTCGGGACAGAGTTATTGATACATATTTTGTATTCACAGCCGCAAAACGGGGGGAGGCTCCTCCCGGGCGCGGCTCTCATCAACCTACTCCCGCATCCTGTGCATTGTCGGTGTAGACTCTGCCCTGGGCGCCCCCGGGTTTCGTGTCCCCTACTTTCCGGAGGAGGAGGTACGTACTTGACCAGGGAGCAGCACAACAGTCTACATGTGTTGCTTATTTCTGCAGAGTTCCAGGAGGCGGGGCAAGTGTATGAAGTGAACGCTTAAATCTGTATTTTAAAACTAATGGAAGCATTGCATTAAAATTTCAATGAACTTACCTGAGAAAGAAGTGAAGAAAGAAGGATTGGCACTTCGTTACCTACGTGGTCCCAAAATTGGGTTAAGCTTTCTGAACATTTGTTGATAGTTTTATTGGTGGGTTACAATAGTCATTGTTTAAAGTGATAAATATAAGCAACAAATCGTTAATTTATTTATCGGTCCCTTTCAAAATCCCGCCAACTCTAGGGTGCACAGAGGGAAAATTGACTTGTCCCTGTACAGGCTAACCCTGAAAGGACTGCACGTGTGATAACTATTAAAAGCTATGGGACGTGTATGTAAATAGTTCCTGGGCTCAAGGCCATATCCAGGAGAGGAGGAGGAGTCTGAGCTTCAAAATTCATCATGGACTGCCAAATACTTTTCCTGGGTTCGGCCCCAACTTTGCTTAGACCTAGAAACATTGATGAGAGCTGTAGTAAGGTGGTTAGTTTACATAAAAGGTGATTGAAATGACATGTAAATGGGAGTGGTACATCCTAGCGTCAGCCACAGCACTACCAGCAACATTCAGCTGCTGCAATGAATCATCTACTTATCTGTTTTTCCCGATAGTATGCAACATGTACAACTCTTATAGGGTAATACGCACACGACAGGGAGCAGCTCCTTGCCTGGCGCTCAAAAGAGGTTTACCACAAGTCATTCATTTGCAGTATTGTTTTTACAGCAAACTACAAAAGTTACTACAGGAGCAAACATGTGTAGAATCTAAAGCTGGAGCATAGCTCCATTTGATTCCATAAAAAAACATAGATTGCACATGTTACAGGGCATGCAGTGCAAACACGTAACGATAAACGTGCCTTGTAGGCGCAGTCTGTGGGCGCCCCGGCAGAGGAGCACCCAGCTTCGCAGGATGCGGGGGACGTGCTCGAGGAGGAGGCGGAGGAGGAAGAGGACGCGAATCAGGAGGCATCTACCTCAACGCGTAAGATACTTGACTTGACTAAGGGGAACTAAAACCGTCAGCAACATGAACATGACCACACTTATTACTGATCTAAACTATGTTTTCCTGCAGAAATGCCACGGCCTCGAGCACGGCGAGCTACGGTTCGACCAAGGCAGCCTCGTCGAGTCCCTCGAGTCTCTCGACAGGAGCAGCGGGACGAGGCGGCCTTTTCGGCCGTGGCTAACCAGCAGCGCCTGCTCGACGCCAACACCAGCAGCGCCTGCTCGACGCCAACGCAGGCCGCGATACGAGAGACGAAAGGTTCTAGGGACAGGTAATGTTGACAAATCCCTGAAACACAGTAACATGATTAAACACAGACTTACTTCACACATAAGGTACCAATAGTTGGTGTCAGCAAAGTCTTCGTAACCGTTATGAGATGTTGGAAGTCAAGAAATCTGCAAATCATGTTTCAGATCACGCTCGGCATGGGGCAGGTCCTGGAGCGGCTGGACCAGCTGGCACAGAACGTGGGGCAGCTGGCGCAGCACGTGGAGCAGCAGGCGCAGAGCATGGACCGGATCGCAGACAACATCCAGGAGGGGGTCCTCTCCATGCAGCAAAACGCTGCCTTCATGCGAGAGGTCATCCTCCTGCTGTCCAGCCACGCTCTGCGTCAGCCTCAGCCCCAGGCCCAGCCCCAGCCCCAGCCCCAGCCCCAGCCCGAGCCCCAGGCCGAGCCCCAGGCCGAACCCCAGGCCGAGCCCCAGGCCCAGCACCTGGCCCAGCCTCCAGAGGATCACAACTAAGTGTCGATTACTGTACCTTTTTTTTTTCTCACATCCAAGGGGATCTTTTTTTTTTTTTTGTATATATTTTTTAATGACAATGCCCCCAGTGGCTGCAATAAAATCTTTCATGACTTGTCAATTTATGTTCTCTGGCGAATAATGTTATCTGTATATAATGTTTTATATGACAGTGCCTGAAGTGGCCGCAGCAACGTCTTTCGTGAACTGTAAACTTATGTTCCTTGGAGATTGTTGTTATTTGTATATACTGTTTTATACGAAAGCGCCTCAAGTGGCTGCAATAACATCTTTCGTCGAAGTGTTACATACAAAAAAACAGAAGTTTGTTTTCACTTGCACATACAGTTCTGTACTGCAACATGTATTAGCATTTTGTGCAAGGAAGAAATTTGCAATGTTTGCAAAGATTTTTATTGCTAAAAGAATATCTCTGTCACAGTCCACTTATGTGTACCCTCTTTGTAAACAACAAAAATATATCGAAATTCTATAGTCACAAAGAATACATAAAAATGTGGCACACCTGGGAAGGAAGAACAGAATGAAGCACAGGGAAAAATGAGATCGTTTCATAAAGAGGCAAAATGATTTGCTCCCAGGTTACTTGGTCATACCTGTTACACAAGCCAATATCCAATAACACACAAAGAAATACATGACATAAAATAACAGAGTTTGCCGTGGGGAAAATAAGGCGGCCTGTCTGTGTTTGCCATATGAACTCAACTAACCAACCACGATCATTGACACATGATACTCATTATCTCATATTTGTTGCAAAATAAAAGGTTATTCTATGGAGCGGTACACCTTTGGAACCACCGTTACACACTTAAAATCCCAAAATACATATTTCGGAAGCAGCACCATCCTTCTGCGAGGGTTGCACAATGGCTGTGCTGAAAACTGTGAGGAGCAGGAGCTCAAGAGACTGCGCAGTTCATGAACCGTCGTGCCTGTGGACTGGAAAGAGTTTTACGCACTTCTACGGGGAGCTCCCTTGGCACCAAGGGTGCTGATGAGGGCCTTGGGTATTCACGGCACCTCAGCCCTTGCGGAACTGCCGGCATGGTGGCGTCGATGACGACGAGGGGCAGCCTGTCGTCGCTGGCCTCCCTGGACGGCAGGACTGCCAGAGAGGCTAGATCGACGACAGACTCCTTGGTGGCGCCGCCGCTGCTGGCGTGAGGAACTGCCAGAGCAGCCTGCAGAGGGCCCCGCGACGGCACGGGTTTGGCAGGTCTCGAACTGGGACACAAGGCCTTGCCTCAGAGCCTTCCCCCTGTCCGAGAGGCGCACCGGAAGGTGGGCAGGAACCTGCCCGCCACCTTCTGACTCTAACCCCGCCGAGCCCGGCTCAGAACCGTCCGAGCTCGACCCAGAGTCCGACTCTCGACTGTCAGAGTCGGCATCTGGCTCCGGTTCTGGCTCCATCGATGCAAGGCATATATTGTGGAGCACTGCACACGCCGTTATAATGGCGGTGGCTGTTGTTGGATGGTAATACAGAGCCCGGTGCCTTTGCAGGCACCGGAATCTGGATTTCAGCAGCCCAATGCAGCGCTCCACAACAGACCTCATCGAGGAATGTGCCTTGTTAAACCGGCCGCTGGCGGTGGAGGTTGTGTGCACCCCAGGGACAGGGGTGATGAGCCAAGGTTCCAAGGCGTAGCCGCTGTCTCCTGCACAATCAGACAAAGAAATGTTCTAATATTGTTTTATTTACTGGGAAGTTTGATATGATGTGAAAAAGCGCAAATGGTTAGGAAGAGAAGGGGACAGGATATAGCGCTTTTTTCACATCATGTTTAACCAACTAATCCACCAGTTATTTTTAATTTTATTACTGCAAAGGCCAAACAAGAACACCTTTGTGCAGCAACTTCTTCCTGGGTATGTACACAGCGTATGCACAAGTAACAATGTTAGAAGCATCCGTTTATACAGTATTGTAGCCTATAATCCAGGCTCAGCCGACATGCACAAATTTAACAATTGAAGCATGCGCACCAAGCAGGAACCTGCCATCGTCGATGAGCCGGCCTTGCTCGAAGTTGTCGCGGAGCCAGGAGAAGCGCCAGGCAAAGGAGTCGTGCACCGACGCTGGGTAGCATGGGTCGATGTACATTACCCGGCAGCGGGCGTCACACACCTGTTGTAGAGATAGGATATATGTGCTCAGTAGTTTCCCCGAATGATCAAGCAAAGCAAGATAGGATATATGTACTCAGTAGTTTCCCCGAATGACCTAGCAAAGCACAGTTAGGCAACGCCAATTCCAGCCTTAAGCACCATTTGCAAACTAATAAACACAAAAAGAAGAAATCCACGACTAAGGTGATTGTAGGACACAATGCGCCATACATGACCAGGCACTGTCAGTTTGGATACACAAAATGAGCCACGCTCTAGCTATGTAAAGTATGTATGTACGTACAATCGCGAACAGTATGAGCTGAAACAGCACTCCGGCCGCCGCACGGTACTACCTGCGCCGCCTATCGCATCGCTCCGCAAACACGGCGCAGCCTGGGGCCGAGTGTGCGTTCCAATGCGACAGGCGGCGCAGGTAGTACCGTGCGGCGTCCGGAGCGCTGTTTCAGCTGATATTGTACATGGAAGAAGAGAGAAAAACAAAGGGGGGGGGGGGGGGGGGGGATTGGGTACGGTCCAGTGTCGAGCTCGCTCCCTCCCACAGTCATCCCCCCCATGAAACCTACGTTTATATAGTTGAAAAAAAAAATGAGCAGCTCTTTATGTCTACCATGTTTGAAAGTTTCGTTCAGAGGTTACTTACCACCATCACGTTAAGGGCGTAGTACTGCTTTCTGCACCAATACGCAGCCTTCGTGACGGTGGGGTCGTACTTGGACGGGCCGACGATGCTGATCATCGTCCCGTCGATGCACCCCATGACGCCCGGAATCCTGCCGAGTAGTTGGAAGCCCCTCTCGAAGTCGTCCCTCTCGCTTGCCGTCTGGGGAAAGTGGATCCAGCCATGTTGGATCCCCAGACGGCGCACAATAGCGACGGACACGGCCCGGAAGGCGATGCTGACCGTGCCTTGGTCCCGTGCTATGTGCTCGTTGCTCGCCACCATGCCTTGGAAGCTCCCCGTAGCGTAGAACCGAAGGGCGCACAGCACTTGGTCCTCCACAGTCATGACAGTAGTTGACCGACGCAGTCTCTGCAGCTCCGGCTCCTCGCGGAGTTCGTCGCACCGCCACCGTACTAAAGTCTTCGCCAGGCGGTACTGCTTCCGAAATACGTGCTCCGGGAGTTCAAAATCATCCCGATGGCTCCGGTTGCGCCTGTCCACCGGATACAACAGCTGAAATATCGGGGTGCAGTCCATCGTTTGACGGGACGGCGCGGACGCGTTGCACCCCATCTTGCTGATCTTGCTTCGTTCTTTTGAAGTGACGTAACAGCAAAGTATTCATATGTCATTTTGACGTCACGTCCGTTAATGGTAGAGCTTCCGGCTTACCGATTTCCGCTCACTTTTTCTTTGTTTTCTTCTGCAAATACCGTCATCAGCGATTCCACCAATCGACATCCAAAGAGAGTTGTTGACGTCACTTCCCTCTCCCTAGTCTCCTGGGAGTGCACAAAAAGCGCAACATAGCCCCCCTGGTTGCGCGTGCCTCTCTCCGATCCTCATTTTCTTCGCGCCAAGGTGCGCGGGTGCCGGTCGGTGTTGGGTGTTGAGTGCTGTCGTCTGTTGGACTCGTTGTCCGCCACACACCCTTTCAATTGATTCATGGTCGCAAAGTGACGACAATGCTGGACGCGATGTTACCCCACGAACCGGCTGTCGACGGAAGCGACAACGCCCAGGTGGCTGTCCAATGGGCAGAAGAAGTCCGTCAGCTCGCCAAACACCGGATTAAAGCCCAGCAATGTGTCGACACGGCCGCTACAATCTTCGTTGTCGGGACGTCCACTTCAAGCCCGGAGACAGAGTATGGGTCTGGACACCGATTCGCCGGCGTGGTCTCAGCGAAAAACTCCTGAAGCGGTATCTCGGACCCTACAAGGTACTTCGTCGACATGGAGATCTGAACTACAAGGTGATGCCTGACGGAACAAGAACATCATTACGCCGCCCACCACGACCTGAAGTTGTCCACGTCGTGCGCCTGAAGCCGCACTACGCTCGATAGAACTCTAGACCTTATGTGTTCCAGATGACTCTTTAGTGTACCGTTATTTTTATTTGCTTTGTTTTGCTTTGTGTTGCATCGGGACGATGTGCTTTTTAAAATGGGGGAGTAATGCCGTGCCCGCAGCTGGCCAAGTAGGCAGCACGCGTGTGGCCTAACGGTTATCACGCCTGCTTCCCACGCGAAATACCAGGGTTCGATTCCTGGGAGCGACGCATCTTTTGTTATTCCTGCAATTTAGTTTTCTGGTAAATTCAAGAACCCTGTTGGGCTTGTTCGAGGTCCGAGTGTTCTACGCGTCGAACATTCTACGCCGACTATTCCAGAAGCTCACTCGTGTACATAAGGGGCCTCGCATAGCGAGCCAGGGTCAGTTTCGCCCCAGCGTTCGACTCTGCTGTTACGCCGACTTCGACGCCCGCGACGCTCCGTTACTATCTTCTGTACCTGTTTATTTTTGGCACAAGTTCGTCTCATTAAACGTTTCTTTATTTTTGTTTATTTATTGTTCTTTTGGTCACCACCCGTGACGATATAAACATCAAAAGGTCAAACTTCACAAATAAAATGTATGTTCTCAAGCTGCATGGTCTAACAACATGTTTCTCTTATATCAGAAAAATATTGGACATTAAAGTATCATACTACGTCATTTTAATTTTGTAAAGTTTCAGTGGTTACCGAGCCACTTCAGAGAGTTTCAGAATTTTCCACAAAAATGTTGCTGTGAAAAGTACAACAAAGAACCCTATCAACGCTAATCATGCTGAACCAAACTTTTACGGCATTATTGCAGTAACACAGAGAACTCAGTTTGGACACACAATTAAA